ACATTTGGCATTTCAAAAAAGATTTGTGGACATCAGCACAAAGTAGCAGCCATACTGGAGAGGGCAGCAACCACAGACAAGGCTCCCTGCCTTTCTCGCTGGCTCCTCCCTCCCTTTCCTTATCTCTCTCTGGCTCCTCCTCTTTCTCTCTCTGACCTTTTTTCCTTTCAGTTTCTCTGATTCTGCCTCCTTTCCTCCATTTCCTTCACTCTCTCTGGTTCTTTCTTCTTCTTTCCTTCCTCCTGTATCTTCTTTCTTTCCTTATCGCTCCCTTCCATTTCTCTGGCTCTCTTTCCTTCCTTCCTTCCCTTCCCTTGTTTCCTTACTCACACCCCCCTCACTATCTGGTTTTCTCTCTGATGCCTCTTTCCTCCACTTTCCAGCACACCCAAGGAATTATTTTCTCCATTCCTTTGCACAGGGTGAGAAAAAGCACCCCTGCCAAAAATAAGTGGCAGGGGCAAAATCCACCTATTGCCAAGGACGCTGTTGCCCCAAGTCCTTAGTGGGGGCTGAGCATCCCAACTCTAGCAGTTCTGCAGGAGAAGGCAGGTTGGTGGCCGGTTTGCAGGGGATGCCGTATGAGGCAAGACTGGGGGAACTGGGTCTCTTCAGCCTGGAGGAGACTCAGAGGGGATCTGTTGGTGACATACAGGCATGTGAGGGGGTGTCACATGGAGGTGGGTAGAGACCTGTTCTCCCCTGCAGAGGAAGGCAGGATGTGCTCCAATGGAGCAAAGCTCAGGGAACCCAGGCTCCGTTTGGATGCCAGGAAGCACTTCCTGACAGTCAGGACCCCGAGGGTGTGGAATGGGCTTCCACGGGAGGTCGTTGAGGCCCCATCGGTGCGGGTGTTCAAAGACAGGCTGGACGTGCACATGGTGGGCATGTCGTGAGCGGAGCCGGCTGGTGCCGGGGGTCGGACTAGATGGCCCAGGAGGCCCCTTCTGACTCGCGCTGTTTTCTAAGTTTCTACGTTTTCTGTTTCATTCCCTATGCAGGCATATGAGGAATCACTCCATCGGCTTGCTGTTATGTGGCGTCATCTCCAAGTTATGGCAACCCTGTAAAAGAACATTCTCCAGAATGTCCACTCCTTGACACCCCTGCTCAGCATTTGGAACCTCAAGGCTGTGACTTCCTGAGGATTGATCCATCCCATAGTTGGTCTTCCTCTTTTTCTTCTGCCTTCAACTTCCTCTAGCATGACAGCCTTGTCCAATGACCTATGCAGTCTCATGATGTATCCAAAGTCCATAGAATCATATAGCAAAAAACCTCTTTATTTAAACAGTATTTTAAAAATCAGTTATTTTAATGGTTTTTAACAATTGCTTTTATTTCATTTCTTTTATTACTTATATTATGCATTATTGTTTTTATTAAGATTTGTATTATCTTATTGTTATTTATATTTTTGTAAGCCATGCTGAAGCCACTCGAAGGACGGCATATAAATGTTTAAATAAATGAATAAAGCCAACAAAAATCCACTGCTGTGTGCAAAAGAATAGCAGGGGAGCGCGCAGATCACAGTTAAAGCCTCACCTCAGTTTGGGTTTGCAGTGTGTAGTGCTTATCACTGACATTTACAAGATGCGTCAACTTTGGGGAATGCAGATTAAAAAAGAGGATGCAACTCTACTACATAAATACCTCTTGCCACATGTATAGGTCGCAACCCACATTGAAAGCTTAACTATTGACTTTCATTTACATTCGTTGAAAAAAATGAATAATAACAAGAATAAATAACCATGACTGCATGCGCCAACTCGAGGTTCGCACTTCCTCCTGAAACCAAGCACCCAGAGGCCCGAAGCCCAGCGCCCAAAGGCAGCCTGGCCGGACAAGCTCCCAGCATGCCCCGGCGGGGAGAGGCATGCCGGGAAAGGCGGGGCCTCTCCCCGAGGGGCGGGGCCACGCGGCCCGTGGGCGGGGCCGGCCGTGCGGCCGCCCGTGCCCGTTGCATCGCGGGGCTCCGCGCGCCGCCGCCGCTCGGGGAATGGCTCCCGCGGGGCCCCCCGTCCTCCCCCGGCGGGCCCGG